TCCTATTCATACTGTATAAGCATTACTGTTTGTGTAGGTATAACTTGTAGGTGTATGAATTACTGTGAAGGTGTAACTTGTGGTTGTAACTATTATTGTTTCATTAAAACACACACACACACACACACACACACACACACACACACACACACACACACACACACACACACACACACACACACACACACATCTTTATGATCTTTAATGATCTAATGATCATCTAATGATCATCTAATGATCATTTAATAATGATTTAATGATCTTTAATGATCTCTAAAGATCTTTAATGAATCACTTATGTCGGGAGAATTGCCCAGTTGCTGGAAGAGGGCAAATGTTGTACCGATTTTCAAGAAAGGTGATAGGGAGGAGGCACTTAACTATAGACCTGTATCACTGACAAGCATCCCCTGTAAAATACTTGAAAGAATAATTAGGCTACGACTGGTTGCACACCTACAGAACATTAGGTTTGTAAACAAACATCAACATGGGTTCTGGACAGGGAAATCATGCCTAACAAACCTTTTGGAATTCTATGATAAAATAACGAGGATAAGACAGGACAGAGATGGTTGGGCAGACTGCATATTTCTGGACTGCCAAAAAGCCTTTGATACAGTACCGCACATGAGACTGCTATTCAAACTTAAGAGGCAGGCGGGGGTGGGCGGAAAGGTCCTAGCATGGGTAAGGAACTACCTAACAGGAAGGAGCCAAAGAGTTACGGTAAGGGGCGAGAAGTCGGACTGGCGAACAGTAACGAGTGGAGTACCACAAGGATCGGTGCTGGGACCAATTCTATTTCTAAATACGTTAACGACATGTTTACAGGAGTAGAGTCCTACATGTCGATGTTCACGGATGACGCAAAGTTGTGACAGATGAGGATTGTAGGATCCTCCAAGAGGACTTGAACAGGTTGCAGAGATGGTCAGAGAAATGGCTACTGGAGTTCAACACGAGCAAATGTAAAGTTATGGAAATGGGACTAGCTAGATAGGAGACCAAAGGGACAGTACACAATGAAGGGGAACAGCCTACCTGTAACGACGCGTGAAAGAGACCTGGGGGTGGACGTAACACCTAATCTAACTCCTGAGGCACATATAAATAGGATAACGACAGCAGCGTACTCTACACTGGCAAAAGTTAGAACATCATTCAGAAACCTAAGTAAGGAGGCATTTAGGGCGCTTTACACTGCCTACGTGAGGCCAGTCTTAGAGTATGCCGCCCCATCATGGAGTCCCCACCTGAAGAAGCATATAAGAAAACTGGAAAAGGTTCAGAAGTTTGCAACGAGACTCGTCCCAGCGTTACGAGGGATGGGGTATGAAGAGCGCCTGAAGGAACTGAGCCTTACGACACTAGAAAAAAGAAGGGAGAGGGGGGATATGATAGGAACGTATAAAATACTCAGAGGGATTGACAGAGTGGACATAGACGAAATGTTCACACGGAATAGTAACAGAACGAGGGGACATGGATGGAAGCTGGAAACTCAGATGAGTCACAGAGATGTTAGGAAGTTTTCTTTTAGCGTGAGAGTAGTGGGAAAATGGAATGCACTTAAGGAGCAGGTTGTGGAAGCAAATACTATTCATAATTTTAAAACTAGGTATGATAGGGAAATAGGACCAGAGTCATTGCTGTAAACAACCGATGGCTCGAAAGGCGGGATCCAAGAGTCAATGCTCGATCCTGCAGACACAAATAGATGAGTACAACATAGTGAGTACACACACACACACACACACACACACACACACACACACACACACACACACACACACACACACACACACAAACCATAACAAATGAAGTGTTTCCACAGGACATGTAGTGAGGAATGAGTGAGAAGGGAGAAGAGGAGGTGGTGTAGCTTAGCTGTTAAGAAAAGGTTGGAGTTTTGAAGAGATGGTTAATCAGAACTGTGAAGGTTTCAGTGACTACATATCAGGCACCATAGCAACTGGAGGACAGAAAATTATAGTAGTAGTCATATATAACCCCCCACCAAACGACAGAAGACCCAGACAGGAATATGATAGAAACAACATGGCCACCATCAATATAATAGAGAGAGCAGCTTCTGTGGCTAGCAGGAACGGATCCAGACTACTAATCATGGGAGACTTCAACCACGGGAAGATAGATTGGGAGAACAGAGACCCACATGGAGGACCAGACACATGGAGAGCTAAGCTGCTGGACGTGGCAACAAGAAACTTTCTAAGTCAACACGTCAAGGGACCGACAAGAATGAGAGGAGAGGATGAACCAGCCTTGCTTGATCTGATATTTACCCTAAATGAGTCGGATATAAGGGAAGTTAAGTTGGAAGCACCCTTGGGAATGAGTGATCATAGTGTATTGAGCTTTGAGTACCTGGTTGAGCTAGGAATTATCTCCCCCCAAAAGAACTGGGAAACAAAGGGCTGGCGTACCGAAAGGGAAACTATGAGGAGATGAATAAATTCCTAAGGGATATACCATGGGACACAGAACTCAGAACTAAGTCCGTACAAGACATGATGGACTATGTCACCCAAAAGTGTCAGGAGGCTGTAAACAGGTTTATCCCAGCCCGACAGGAAAAAACCGAGAAGCAAAAGAAGAATCCATGGTTTAATAGGGAATGTATGAAAGCAAAGGAGCTGAACAAAAGGGCATGGAGGAACTTCCGTAATAACAGAACACCAGAAAGTAGAGAGAGATACCAGAGAACCAGGAACGAGTATGTTAGTGTGAGAAGAGCAGCTGAGAAAAGGTATGAAAATGATATAGCTAATAAAGCCAAGACCGAACCAAAGCTACTACACAGTCACATCAGGAGGAAAACAACAGTGAAGGAACAGGTGATGAAACTTAGAACGGGTGAGGACAGGTACACAGAGAATGACAAAGAGGTGTGTGAAGAACTCAACAAAAGGTTCCAGGAGGTCTTTACAATAGAACAAGGAGAGGTCACGGCGCTAGGAGAGGTGGCAGCAAACCAGGCGACCTTGGAAGGGTTCGAAATTACAAAAGATGAGGTCAAGAGGCACCTATTGGAGCTGGACGTGAGAAAGGCTGTTGGGCCGGACGGAATCTCACCATGGGTATTGAAAGAGTGTGCAGGAGCACTTTGTTTGCCACTCTCCATAGTGTATAGTAGGTCACTGGAAACGGGAGACCTACCAGAAATATGGAAGACGGCTAATGTAGTCCCAATATACAAAAAGGGTGACAGACAAGAGGCACTGAACTACAGGCCAGTGTCCTTAACTTGTATACCATGCAAGGTGATGGAGAAGATTGTGAGAAAAAACCTAGTAACACATCTGGAGAGAAGGGACTTCGTGACAACCCATCAACATGGGTTCAGGGAGGGTAAATCTTGCCTTACAGGCTTAATAGAATTCTACGATCAGGTGACAAAGATTAAGCAAGAAAGAGAAGGATGGGCGGACTGCATTTTTTTGGACTGTCGGAAAGCCTTTGACACAGTACCCCATAAAAGGCTGATGCATAAGCTGGAGAAACAGGCAGGAGTAACTGGTAGGGCGCTCCAGTGGATAAGGGAGTACCTAAGCAATAGGAAGCAGAGAGTTACAGTGAGGGGTGAGACCTCAGATTGGCGTGAAGTCACCAGTGGAGTCCCACAGGGCTCTGTACTCGGACCTATCCTGTTTCTGATATACGTAAATGATCTCCCAGAGGGTATAGACTCATTCCTCTCAATGTTTGCTGACGACGCCAAAATTATGAGAAGGATTAAGACAGAGGAGGACAGCTTGAGGCTTCAAGAAGACCTGGACAAGCTGCAGGAATGGTCGAACAAATGGTTGTTAGAGTTTAACCCAAGCAAATGTAATGTAATGAAGATAGGTGTAGGGAGCAGGAGACCAGATACAAGGTATCATTTGGGAGATGAAATACTGCAAGAGTCAGAGAGAGAGAAAGACCTGGGGGTTGATATCACGCCAGACCTGTCCCCTGAAGCTCATATCAAGAGGATAACATCAGCGGCATATGCCAGGTTGGCTAACATAAGAACGGCCTTTAGAAACTTGTGTAAGGAATCTTTCAGAACATTATATACCACATATGTCAGACCAATCCTGGAGTATGCGGCTCCAGCATGGAGTCCATATCTAGTCAAGCATAAGACTAAACTGGAAAAGGTTCAAAGGTTTGCCACCAGACTAGTACCCGAACTGAGGGGTATGAGCTACGAGGAGAGACTACGGGAATTAAACCTCACGTCACTGGGAGACAGAAGAGTTAGAGGGGACATGATCACCACATACAAGATTCTCAGAGGAATTGATAGGGTAGATAAAGACAGACTTTTTAACACAAGGGGCACACGCACTAGGGGACACAGGTGGAAATTGAGTGCCCAAATGAGCCATAGAGACGTTAGAAAGAATTTTTTCAGTGTCAGAGTGGTTGACAAATGGAATGCATTAGGAAGTGATGTGGTGGAGGCTGACTCCATACACAGCTTCAAGTGTAGATATGATAGAGCCCAATAGGCTCAGGAACCTGTACACCTGTTGATTGACGGTTGAGAGGCGGGACCAAAGAGCCAGAGCTCAACCCCCGCAAGCACAATTAGGTGAGTACAATTAGGTAAGTACACAGCTTTGGTTACATTTATTAAACAGTTTGCAGGCATGAAAAACTTCCCAATGAACTGTTGTTATTGTTATAAACAGCCTCCTGGTGCTTCGGAGGTCATTAACTGTTTAATGATTGTAAACAAAGCCGCCAAAGATTGAGAACAGATGTACAGGTTCGTAAGTGCATGCGCAACTACTTCGTGATCTGGCCCCCAGGAATATCCAATTGCCTAAGTACTGGGAGCAGGTTGGAGGACTAAGTGGTGTCCCAGGTTACATAAAGGTATAGGAAAGTTGAAAAGTAAACAAGACACAAGAAATGTGAAAGTGAGTGAAAAATCTGTGTTGGAAAAGTTTATACTTCGAAACAAAAGATAGTCAATAAAAAAGATGGCCGCCACCACCGGAGAGGTGAGCACACCAGCCACCACCGGAGAGGTGAGCACACCAGCCACCACCGGAGAGGTGAGCACACCAGCCACCACCGGAGAGGTGAGCACACCAGCCACCACCGGAGAGGTGAGCACACCAGCCACCACCGGAGAGGTGAGCACACCAGCCACCACCGGAGAGGTGAGCACACCAGCCACCACCGGAGAGGTGAGCACACCAGCCACCACCGGAGAGGTGAGCACACCAGCCACCACCGGAGAGGTGAGCACACCAGCCACCACCGGAGAGGTGAGCACACCAGCAGACCGCCACCACCGGAGAGGTGAGCACACCAGCCACCACCGGAGAGGTGAGCACACCAGCAGATGAATGTTTCCAAGGATTCTCAGCACAAGATATAAGGAAATGTGGTTGTCTTGGCAGGTCAGGGATTACTGAGGGCAGGCTTAAGGAATATGAAGAAAAGGTCTTTAAATTAGAAACGAACAAGGAAGCGTTTAGGGATGAGGTTTGCACTTTAAAGGAAATATTCTTCAGCAAAGTAGGAAAATTACCGCCTTAACAGACAAGGTAAAGAGACAGGAGGAACAAATCAAGAAACTAGTGCACGAAAAAGAGGTATGGAAAGTGAAGATTGGTGAATTTGAAGAAATTAACAAGAAAATAGACTCATATGATGGAACAAGGAACAAGGGACCCTGACGGCTAACATAAAGTTAGGCAACGATATGCAAAGAGAAACTTCATGGACAACTGACATGGAGGAGGTTAATAAAGAACTAGAAAAGTACAAAGAGGAAATAAAAGAGACGTATGCGCAAGTTGTAAAAGAGAAAGAGACGTATGCGCAAGTTGTAAAAGAGAAAGAGACGATCAAGGAAGTGTGTTTGTAAGTCAAAACCAGAAATGACAAAGAAGAAGCAGAAATTAGGCAAGCAATTAGGAAAGAACTGGTTACAACAGTAAATTAGTGCAAAACACTGTTCAAAAACAATGTACAGATACTGTAGATAGAAGTAAGTCCATAATAATTTTCAGGTGTTTAGAAAAGGAAATATCATCTAGGGTGGACAGAGCAGCAGAAGAGATAAAAATCATAAAGAAAATAATGGGTTTAGGAGAAGGCCTCAATTCAAAGGAAAATGTCAGTGATTTTTGTAGGATAGGAAAATATGAGTAAGCCATGAACCGCCCCTTAAGGGTGATATTTAGTGGAGTGAAACAAATGATGGAAGTGCTTAGAAATGCCAGGAAATTTCAGTGATGAGAATGGCAAACTTTGGTCAATAAGTCAAGACCTCTCAAAGGAAGACAGAGAACAACTGAAAAAAACTCAATGAAGTGAAACGTCTAAATGGGAATAGAAATGAAGAAGAAATTATGTTTTTGTACAGTGTTAGGGACTGGAAAGGTAATGAAATAGTACATAAATACAAAGCAACAATATCATTAAAGGAAAGGGGGAGTAAAGGACAAAGGGAAAGGGAATATGTTCCTGAAAATTGTATATACCAACATAGATGGAGTGAGAAAAAAAATACTGGAGCTAAAATATATAATTCAGCTTAAGGTCCCAGATATTGTAGCACTAACAGAGACAAAACTTGAAGAAAATATTTTAAATGAGGTCGTATTCCCAAGAGGCTACTCGGTTTGGAAACGTGACAGGAAAACTAGGAAGGGGGAATCGAGTGGCTGTGCTGGTGAAAGAACACTTGAAGGTTAGAGAGTTAATAACCGAAAACCCTCGAGAAGTTGACAATGGCAGTGAAGGTTTATAATCAAGATGATAAACTGATAATTGTAATTGTCTACAGTCAACCAGCTAACAACACATGGACAAAGAAGGAACTGGATGACAAACGAGAGGGCCTCATAATGGTCACGAGAGAGATTATAGTAAAACCAGAAAACGACAAATCACGATTGTTAGTACTTAGGGATTACAACTTGAAACCAATAGACTGGGAGGCCTATGAAGCAAGACCGAAGGACATTTGAGAGCCAGATTTATAAACCACATTCTGCAGACATTCATGTATCAACACGTCAAGCAGGCCACAAGAATGAGGGAAGAGGATGTTCCGTCAATACTGGCTCTAATATTTACCAGGAAAGAAGAAAAAATATTTGACATCCAGTAACTTCCTGGGATATTTAACATCCAGTACGTTGGAAAGAGTGATCATGTCCTGTTGGAAATTAAGTATGATTTGCGATATAATCTAGAAGAGAATGGAGACCTTGAAACAGTTGATAAACTTTATTTCAAGAGAGGATACTACTGGGAACTTTGAAAATTCTTTAATGAGTTTAATTGGGCAGACCTGTTGCCAGTCAGGGAAGTAAAGGAGATGTATGGCATATTTTGCGAAAAATACGACGAAGGCTCTCAAACATTCATACCAAAACAGTGATGCAGGACCAGAAAACAGGATTGGTTCAACAGAAATTGTGAGAGGGCCAGAGAGAAAAAGACAAGGAAATGGGTTCAATATAGGAAGAGGCCTAACCCGTAAACATACCAGCACTACAAGCAAACAAGTAACAATTACACAGCCGTGAGAAGAGAAGCAGAAAGGAACTTTGAGAAAGGTATAGCGAGAATGTGCAACTGATCTGTGCATTCCACTTCAATTAATATTCCAGGCATCCTTGTGCACAAGAAACTTAGCAGGTACACGGATAAAGGCAATCCTTACCAATCTATAAAAATTTTAGTCGAAAGGAACCTTTAAATTATAGATCCGTATCATTAACAATCGTGGTAGTCAAAACATTAGAAACAATAGTTAAAACCAAATGGGTTAAACACCTAGAGAGTAATGATATAATAACGGACAGACATTTGGCTTTCGAACAGGAAGATCCTGTGTAACAAATCTACTTTGTTTTTATGATAGAGCCACTGAGATACGACAGGAAAGAGGTGGTTGGGTTGACTGTGTCTATCTGGACCTAAGAAAGGTTTTTGACAGAGTCCCACACAAGAGGCTGTTGTGGAAACTGGAACATGCTGGAGGGGTGACAGGAAGACTTCTGACATGGCTGAAATATTTTCTAACTGACAGACAGATGAGGGCGGTAATCAGAGATAATGTATCTCACTGAAAGAGTGTTACCAGAGGAGTACCACAGGGTTCAGTTCTTGCACCAGTAATGTTTATCGTCTACATAAACGCAAGCCCATGAGCTCCTGCCTGTAGAGAGGTTACCTCCCTGGGAGGATGACCCATGCAGGATTATCATCAATGAAATGGCAACGAAAAAATCCAACATGATATCACGGGCAATGAGGCACAAGTATCTTGAGGAAATTTATAAAGAAGCTGGAGATGAACTAGATCAAATCTACACTGACGGGTTATCTAATCCTGTCAATGGCAGGGCTGGTGCAGCATACACTGTAATTAAGGATAATACTTTCCAATGCAGAAATGAAGAAAAAGCACATATTGAGACCTATGCCTCTTCAACGCCAGCAGAGCTAACTGCTATTGTTATGGCGTTAAGGTTTCTTGAACGAAACACTAATGGTGCAGTGATTTGCACTGAATCAAAAGCAGCACTGCAGAGCCTAAGTAAAAATCGGGCTGAAAATCTTGCAATAGTCGCTGAAATTAAGAGAGCTGTGAGAGTACTTACCAATCAGGGAAGAGTCGTCAAGCTTCCGTGAATCACCTCCCATGTTGGAATATGTGGGAATGAACGAGCAGATGTGCTGGCTGCTGAAGGAGACCATATTGAATACTTCATACCCAAGACTCTTCTACAAATTAGAGGTATTGTCAGGCAACATCACCATGACAAGGTAACTGAGGAAAGGAGGATAGAAGCACAAACCAGTGAATCTGTACGATGGTACAATATGGTTGCAGCTGGCAATCCCAATCAATATGGGCGAAGAGGAGGTGGCCGCGGGAGAGAATCAGTAATAGCGAGAATCCGTATTGGATACAAATATCCATGGAGATTCGGAATGGAAACAACAGTTGAGCAGCGAAGTTGCAGAATCTGTGATGAGAGTGACGGACACCGCCTTGACCACTATCTACGTGAATGTGAACACCCGAGAGACATTAGGAATATGTGTAGAATAATAAACCCCACATTGTTTAAGTTAGGAAAACACCATTTGTCAAATATTGACACTGTTCTTAAAAGAGTCCTCCATTTTGTACCCGCAAGATAACGTAAGTTATTAAGGGTTGACAGATGTTAATCTTCTTGTTTGAGGAGCTGTTCACTTGAGACAGTTAAGCAAGTCCCAGCTGTGTGTGGGTACAAGTGACAGGATGAACAACCCAGCGGGTTTTCTTCTTATTGGGGAGTGTTGTACATGCTGCTGTGGCGGCATGTCCACTCACAGGATGAGTGGCGCTGCCCAATAAACTCGCCCCTCGGGGCAATTTTTTTTTTTATATATATAAACGATCTACCAGAAGGAATACAGAATTATATGAACATGTTTGTGGACGATGCTAAGATCCTGGGGAAGATAGGAGACGCAGACAATTGAAATGCCTTTCAAATCAATCTAGATAAAATAAGTGCTCTGGAGCGTCAAGTGGCAAATGAAATTCAACGTAAATAAATGCCATGTAATGGAATGTGGAATCCGAGAAAATAGATCCCACACAATTTACAAATCGTGTAGAAAGGAATTACAGAACTCAAATAATGAACGAGACCTAGGGGGGGGGGCGGGTTTGGATAGTAAGCTGTTGCCAGAGGAACACAAAGAAAATTGTGAGAGGAGCATATGCGTCGCTTTCAAACTTCAGATTTGCTTTTTAATTACATGGATTGTGAAATACTAAAGAAACTATTCATGACTTATGTGAGACCAAAATTGGAATATGCAGGAATTTTATGGTCCGAAATCTGAGAAGCACATAAATAAACTGGAAAAGGTGCAATGGCATGCTATAAAAAGGCTTCCGGAACTGAAAACCAAGAGTTACGAGGAGAGATTAGAGGCGTTAAACATGCCACCACTTACACAATACTAACACGAACACACTAAATTGGCAAAGAGGAATTCCTGAAATCAGCAACTTAACGAACAAGAGGACACAGATTCAACCTTAGGAAACAAAGGTGCCGGTAAACCAGGTACCCTGTACTATCTTGTGTTAGAAAGATTCCTTTTGCAAACAGAGTGGTAGACGGTTGGAACAAGCTGTGAGAAGGTGGTGGAGGCCAAAACCGTCAATAGTTTCAAAGCGTTATACGGCAAAGAGTACTGGGAAGACGGGATACCACGAGCGTAGCTCTCATCCTGTAACTACACTTGGGTAATTACACAAACACACACACACACACATACATACATTAAGATCCTCCTAATGGCCCGGGTGCGATTCCCAGTGGAGGTGGAAACAAATGGGAAAGTTTCTTTCACCCTGATGCACCTGTTCACCTAGCAGTAAATAGGTATCTGGGAGATAAGACAGCTGCTACGGGCTACTTGCTGAGAATGTGTGTGTTTGCGTAAGTTAGTGAGAAATGTACGTAGTAGCCATAATAGAGATAAAATAGATTGATTAAGAAGGCGGGGTCTAAAAGCAAATAGTAAATCAATTCACACACACACAAATGGAGTCTTGTGTTGCTTCCTGTATTGTGCTGTTTTGAGTTGTTTCCCACTTTGTATTCTCTGGTGTCATGTGTTGTCGTGTACCTTGTGTTGTCCGCCGTCA